CCCGCCGGCGGGGGAGGCTGCGCGACACTGTTGGGAAGGCGCGGGAAGCGTGGTTTACGGTTCTGCCGTAAAGCAGCTCGCCCGGACCAGCGTCGCTGCCGCCCTTGGGAGGTGATCGGACATGAGCGGGAATGGCGGGAGCAAGGCCCTGGAGCTGCTGCGGTCGCTGCCCAGGGTCAGTCTGGCCAACCTAAGGCCCAGCCCAGGCTCCAAAAAGCGGGTGAGTGCTTGCAGCTTGCCGGGTGGGGCGCGGGCATGCTTTCCCTCCGGCGGCAGGACTCTGCCTCGGCAGCGGGCACGCCCGGCCCCGGTGGCGTTTGCTTCGAGGGCTGTCAGAAAGCCTTTGGGGAGGCTGCGGCAGGCCCAGGAGAGCGGCCTGGCCAGAGTAGGCGTGGGAAGGCAGAGGAGTCGTGGGTGGCCCTGTTGTGTGTGTTGGTCTTGTGTGCGCTGGCCCTGTTCTTGCCCTTTGCATGTCTTGTACCCGGCGTGTGTGGCTATCGCCACAGAGAACTGGCTGATGAGTGGCCCTAGATAAACCTCGGGGCCATCGTTGGGGGACAGGCGGAAACAGTAAAAAAGTATGCAATACCAAGCGTTTATGGGGTGGGGTAATACATTTGAAAAGGGAAGGTTAAAAGGCGTAAAAAGAAATGTGATGCCAGCCAGCACTTCTTGTTACTATTGGTTTCTCAAAAACAAAACTAAATATTCTCTTCCCTGTCTCCTTGTAGAGTGATAGAAGAGTACAGAAAAGAAACCAGGAAGAAAGCCAAGTGGTTTGGGGGAAATATCAGTGAACAGGGGGATGAGGTTCAAGGGCTAAAGTCATAGGAATAGAAAACTGACAGGGAGCACCAGGCAGCGCTGCCCCGTCAGTGCTCAAGGATCCCTAGAGATGCCTGCAGAGCTGGTGAGTGGTGCACAGTTGTAACCCCTTAGAGCTGTGATAAGACAAGAGAATGGAGATTCTTTCCCCCTGCAGCCATTCGGCTTCCCTGTCAAGTTACTTCATTTGGAGCTGTGAACACCCAGCTTGGTCAGGGTCAAGCGGAGCTGGAAGAAGCAGCCCTGTACAGGGCTGGAGTGGTGATTCTTAAGGTTTTTCAAACTAATCCAGGCTCCCAAACAGTATTTTCAGGCTTAGCATCCAGAAGCTGTGAGATTGTCTGAACTTGAGGTTTACTAGAACTGATGCTTTCCTGCCAGTCTTTGATCTCGGGACTTTTTGTTTTTCAAGGTAGCTGTTGGGTTTAGGAAAACACTTTTTTTTTATCTCAAAAGTAGAGATTTTTGTGTGCTCACTGGGTCTTTAGCAAGTAACTTGCAACTCCATACAGGAATTGAGTATTTTTTCCCCATGTTACTGCTAACTGTTAGTCTTCAGTTAGAGTTTGTACAAGAGACCGCAGCTCTGTTTCTCTGGTGTTTTTCTTTTGGTGTCTGACAACCTTATTCTGTGATCAATGAAGTTCTCAAATAAGCAGATTTAAGAGCATTTGATGTCACAAATGGAAGTTGCGACAGAAAAAAAAAAGTTTCTATTGGCTCCTCTGACAATCTAAAATCTGGTCAATGTATTGATTACATTCCATTTGTGACCAGATAGGGTCAGTGTATTTGTATTAACCGAAGTCACCGTGTAATCTGGTGTGTGTATGGACAACTGCCACAAAAGGGTGATTTAGGATTAGGCATGCTTGAAGTTTGGCTATCTGAGTGTTGTATTATTGATCCAACAGTGACTATGCTGTAACTTAACTAAAGTTAGCTTATAAGCAGCACAAATACTGTTTAGAATGTGTTGCTTTGCACGTCTCCTGGCCTGACTGATTCACATTGAGGAACACAATGGAAAAGAGCAAATGTGTGAATTGCGTTGTGCAGATACAAGAGTAGTTAGCAACATGACATTGCGCCTTCCATATGCATTCACAGTCCAGTGGATGTTAGCTTAAATGGGAAAAACTTTGTAAGATCAAATGGATCTATCAGAGCAATGCACAGATGTGATCGTGCCTCTTGGAGCTGAACAGTGAACTCTACCCCATGCAGCATGGCAGTGACATTCTGAAGCTTGTGGCTCTGTCTTATCCCTGACAAAGCGTGAAAAAAATTAAAGTGAGCCTTAGTGCTGCAAATTCTTCAGTATATGAATTAAATGAAGTCACTTTACACAGAAAACTTTGTTAGGTCAGAGTGACCTGGCACTGCCTTATTTAATAACAGTCACTTCCAGCTGCTCATTTCCACCCTTGCTTACTGCCTGTTTTGTAATCCTATAGATATTTGCATACCCATGAATTGTACCGAATGGTGCAACTGACTTGGATTTTAAATTAAAAAAAAAAAAAGACCAACAAAAACTTTTACCTTTGCCTATCTCTTTGATCCTGTTCACCATTTAGCTGTGCAAGTGCTTCTGCTGGCACAAATAGGAGGTCAGCGCAAGAAGATTGCTGAACTGCTGCTTATGGCTGCAATGCTAATTTAAAGTGCTCAGGAAGCTAATAGCTTAGTATCACAGTCTTAATTTAAAAAATAATAAACATTTAAAATACAGTCTTCTCTTTTGATTTGTGGTCAGTAGAAATTGCAACAGTTGCAGACTCTTTAGAAAGTCTGAGTCCATGAAAAGAATTATATGTGTGCATAGCGTATATAGTCTGTTCCCCTGCCCCTTGAAGTAGAATTGTTTTTTTTTTCTATTTTTTTTTTTTTTAGTTTCTTTTTTCATTGTCAGTGTTCGGAAACTTCTGAGCACTGAGCAACTTTATCGTGAAATAGGAGGAAATATCAATAGTTAATTCAGGAAAATTCTCTAACTTGGAGAGTGCAGGCTGTAAGAGGTAGGATTAAATACTAGTGTTCCTTTTATTGCAATATGTGCTCATGTAAACTTTCAGACTATTTGTAGTGCCTGCCTAGAGCTGTGCTCTGCAAAAATCACATTAACTGCTCTTCTGACTATTTTTCCCCTTAGAAAAGAGCTCTCTCTTAATTTTCTTCAAGAATCAGTATTTTGCTCAGTTGTTTATATCTCTGAAATCTTACATTTTATAGATACTTATCTCCAAAGTAGTTGACTAAATGTATCATTGATTGTTTTCAAGGAGAGAAGACGTGGCCGTGGAAGATATGGAGGTAGGAAGTGTGGTCGAGGTCACAAAGGAGAAAGACAAAGAGGAAATCGCCCCCGATTAGGCTTTGAGGGTGGTCAAACTCCATTTTACCTGGCCATACCAAAATATGGGTTTAATGAGGGACATAGGTAAGTGTTTTCACATTTACTCAGAAATTAATCATTGTCTGCTTTTCTTGATCTTTCCCCTGAAGCCAGAATCTAATATGCCAGAACAGGCCTAACTGAAAATGAGACATTCCTCTCAGATTGTTACCTTCCTTACCAGCAGAATCTCCCATTTCTTGTGAGGTTATTTTTTTAATGAATTCATTTATTTTCTGTTGTTTTACAGCTCTGCTTATTTGCCCTTTCTTTGCATAATCCCTCATATGTAGCAGGTTACCCTTCCTCCTACAGCTGAGCACATTTCTCCTCTTAGACTGCTCCTCCATGCGTGCTTGTTCCTCCCTTTGCCTGTCTGCACAGGAGAGAACCTATTGAACTGACTGGGAACAGTCCCATTGACTCAAGTGAGGATGTTAGGCGTGGAAGTGTAATCCAAAGCCTTGCTTTGTTATTTCTCTTTGCTTTATTCACCTGAAGCTCTGATCTGCTGCTAGCCAAACAATTCTTTTTCTCTTCATGACTCTACTTTTTTAGCCCTGCAACACTGCAGTCTTTGTCTGTCTGCACTCCATCTGTTCTACCTAGGATCTTAACAAGCTCTTTAATACAAAATTTATTGGATGAAGCCATTAAGTCATCTTTCACAATTGTTCTTCTCAGACATTCTGCCTTGTTTGACACTTCTGTCCCCTTTTCACATTGTGCTTGTTTGTGCCGTGTCCTCCTTTCAGCTTTTTAATGTTTAAAATGATTCTTCTAACCAGTCACTGTTTTTAGCTGGAGATCCGTATGCCAGTGTTTTATTCATTTTCTTCACTATATTGACAATTACAGCATTTTTTGTTTGTTTTTTGTTGTGGTTCAAAGCTGGTTTTGTTTCCTAAGATGGCATGTAGGTTACCTTGGTCACTAACCATTTTGTTGCTTTTAGGTACGGTCATGAAAGCATTGTATGGATACAGAAATTGTTACAGGTGGTAGTAACAGAAATGTGCCACGCCTAGCAGACAGTTCAAGCGTGGAAGGACTTATGTGAATTTATGTGTGAATTGTTAAACTTACAGTTTGATTTTATGTTTCATTTGCTGTGTAACTTCATCAAGTAGCTATGCATTTTTATATTTCCATTCTTTATGCATGCAGTATAACCTACAGACCTGTCCTGATTATCAAAGGTTTTCTCCATCAGCCTTATCAGTTTTGAAGTGTGATTCACAGTATGTTTCCAAGTACTGTCATTTCCTCCCGTTTACTTAACTTATTATATGAGTAAATGAGAAGCACTTTTGATAGCTGAAGGCACTGTGTAGATCTGCAGTCCCACAAAGGAAATGCTGCAGAATGCAAGCACTGAGCTTCTTGCCTTAACAGTGGTCACAAGCTCATGAATAACCAACAGCGAAAATCCAAGGTTCTGCAGTGACAAGAAATTAATAGGGTCTGGCTGTTTTTAACCGCATGTGACAGCATGTGGAAACAAAAAAAGTACTCCAATTTCTTTTCAACATTGCTGGCAAAATTTCAATGCCAGGCTATTGTATATGTTTTTCTAGTGAACATTGTAACATTGCACTTGAAAGAGACTGTCGTGGCATGATGGGAGCGTGCTGAACAATGTCTCTGTTCATGTTCACCTCACTCTTCTTTCTGTCCATAGTGGTGTTCCTCTACTTTTTGAACTTTTGCTCTCTTAGGAACTGTCTGACAGTGCAAAGTCTGTTGCTTCTCTTCTCTTACTTAGCTTGCCAATAACAAAGATAAGCTGCTCAGTTTTTCTGCTGCCACTCACAGGTTTCCAATACCAGTGGTTAAACTGATTGTATGAGAAAGTTTTGAGCATCAGCATAAATGGCATGCTGTAGGCATAGACACTGGGATCAGGAAAGCTATTCTAAGGATGGGTTTGTATAGTAAAGTTAGAACTTCATAAAATGCAAAAGAGGATTCTGCTGAAGCTGATGGCTATTGACAAAATATTCCAGTTTCCTTTGGGGATATGGGTTAATGCATAATTTCTCAATATTTCTCTCCCTTGGTGGTATTTTGAGGAAGGCTGCGTTCAATACTTGTGAGATGTCAGGTAATGGACTGTCATGGTTTAGCCAAAACCAGCATATGGACTAAAAAATCGTGTTCAATATAGGCAAGCTATGCAGGAGCACGTACAGGGTTTGGCTGGTAGTCTTTGACTACATTTGTATGGGAGGGGAGGATATATTTGGTTTTCACTGTGCATTTTTTTGTCAGGTTTTCTGAATGTATCGGTGAAGCTACCAAGCTGGATTCATTTTGAAGATGGTAGTTATTTAGAATCTTGTTGGCTTACCACGAAATGCTGACACTTTAATTTCTTCATCTTTTTTTGCTTCCTTAAACCTGTCAGCAGGTAGAGAGGTACCCTGCAGTAAATTGAGCTCAGCAACAGCAAAATGATTAATATCATATTGCAGGTGGGGGTGTGTGAGCAAACCTGAAGGCATAATGGAGTCTTGGGCTGTAACTAGGCCTTACATTTGCATTAAATTAAACTTAAAATTTTGGCTTATGGACAGATGTGTTTTAAACGTTTACTTGGTAGCTTTAAGAGTAGGTAGAAAATGGAATACAGTGTGATCTATCTCAGTTGACCAGTTCCTATTAAAGCTTCAATTTTGTAAATTTCTCATTGTTTTGTTTGGTTTTTTGTTTTCCTCTCCCCAGCCTCAGACGTCAGTATCAACCGCTGAGTCTTCAGAGGCTGCAGTACCTGATTGATTTGGGTAGAGTTGACCCCACGCAACCAATTGACTTAACACAGCTCACTAATGCCAGAGGTGTAACAGTGCAACCTCTCAAAAGGGATTATGGTGTCCAGCTGGTGGAGGAGGTATGCATACGAGACACTTATTACTTCAGGCAGTATAAAGCCTTGGGTTTTCAGTTTTTCCATACCAGGCTGTCAGATTGTCCTTTCCATGTTTTGGAAGCATCTTTTCTAGGTTAGTTTGCTGTGGAATTTTTGTGATAATAAATCCACTAGAGGGCACTGTGTGTTAGCAAAAAAACCAAACACCCCAGGAGGCTGTTTTAAGACCTGAGAGACTACAAAAAACGATAGCTAAGGAGCACATAACAAGAGGATGAACTAGTATTTTTAGAACAGAAGACTAGAATGTACTGAGAGAAATGTTTGAATATTTTGGGCAGGCAAACTTTTTTCATTCAATCCAGGTGACTTGAGTGAGAGCAATTTGGTTACCCGTCTTGGTGCGGGGAACAGAGAAATCATAATATTTTCCAGGATTTAATGTTTCTTACAACTTTGCAGAGAAGAATAAGTGTATGTCCTAAAATACTCATTTTAATGTTGTTCTAATATGTGTTGAATTTTACAGGGTGCTGATATCTTTTCTGCAAAAGTAAATATTGAAGTGCAGAGGGCGTCTGAATTAGCAATTGCAACCATAGAAAAAAATGGAGGTGTTGTAACAACATCGTTCTATGATCCAAGGAGTTTGGGTAAGAATTTATTTTCATTTCTGACTTTTTTTTTTTCCCCTGAATGTGCGAAGATTAAATGATCCAAATCAAAGTTTCAGACATAGTTCTTACTGGAAAATCATCAAATTTCTCTATTCTAAAAGCTTCAACAACACATTGTTATACAAATGTTGAACTGTAATGCATCCTCAGTTTTGCTTTTTTCAACCGTTCACCTATTTAGCCCTACCAGTGTTAGTAGTCACTTACCAATCAGCCAGTTAAAGAAATCCAAGTAGCTTTGTAAATAGAGGAACTAATAAAAGATTGTTTGGTTTTTTTAAAATTTTTGTCTTCTTTCTCACTTGTTTAATAACCCTAAGAAAATTCAGGAAAAAAAATCAGATTTTAAAAACACTGTGGATGTTTATATTTTTAATTTAAAATACTTTTCCACTAAAATGAGGAAATAACTAAGTTACAGAAGCTCAGAATCGTTCCAGTCAAAATGGCTATTGTTTTCAGAACACTTTCACTGAAGAATGAGGCTTTGCTTTGCTTGAGACTGCATCCTGCCTAATATTCATTCATGCAGTTTTTATTGACAATAATGGAGCTTTCATGTGTGAATGAGGCTGAGAACAAGAGGAACAGACATTTTTAGTGTGCAAAATATGTTACCCTGGAGTGGTAAAAGTTCTTTTTTTTTTTTTTTTCCAATCCAGAAAATAATAAAAATATTAAGGTTAAAAGAATCTGGGATGTAATTTGCCAAATTCAGGAAAACTTAAGGAGGAGAGGATAGTCTCACAAATGACTAAGTAGGTGCAGATGCCATTGATTCTTTATTTAAAATACTTATAGGAACACTAAATTCGACATTTGTTGGTACACTGTGTAAATAGCCATGCAAATGCATTGCTTCTAACCTGGAAGTGAATCCTTTAAATAAATGGCATCTTCTAGCTTAGTTATTGTGTCTTTCCAAAGCAGACATTCTAAATGTATTAGAAGTAATGATTCATCTGAACTGTTACAATAAATATCAGTTAAAACAGAGTTTTTTGTTTGGTTAAGTGAAACTTGTTAAACACTATCTTATTCTGAACAAGAATATTCTTAAGATTTGGTTTTTTGCTTGATACTTTTTAATAAGAGTTTAATCATTTATTTAGCACAAAATACTAAATAAGAAGGTGTCATTTAATGTCTTTAAAGATGTATTACAAAGGATAGTTCTAATTTTCTCTTATGTTTGCCCACAGAAATTTTGTGTAAGCCAGTAGTATTTTTTCTGCGTGGTCAGCCCATTCCAAAGCGAATGCTTCCACCCGAAGATCTAGTCCGTTACTACACGGATGCCAGGAATCGTGGGTACCTGGCAGATCCATCTAAGGTTGCAGAAGCCAGGCTTGAACTTGCCAAGAAATATGGTTATGTCTTACCAGACATAACTAAGGATGAACTCTTCAAAATGTTAAGCGCACGCAAGGATCCGAGACAGATATTTTTTGGTCTTGCTCCAGGATGGATCGTAAACATGGCAGACAAGAAAATTCTCAAGCCAACTGATGAGAGGCTGTTAAAATACTATAGCTCATGAATCCAGGACTGGAGACAACTGCAGGTGTACAGGAAACATCTGGGTATGAAATAATGGATACAAAGTGGTGTTTGTTTTTTTTAAGACTCCTGTTATACTAGACAAAACATAAATTTTTGTTTATGTAATCTTCTGGTGTAGCTCTCAACTTTTTATTGTCATAATACAGCGTATGAAAAGTATTAACATTTGGAAACAATGTGGAGTCTGACATAAAGTGTGTGTTCAGACACTTTCTCTTGCAATGATTTGCCAGTTATTTTTTCAGACAAAATGTTTCAGTGTTGCATTTATTTCAGAGGAGGATTCCAAAGAGTAACTTGACCTAACAATTAGTTTATATTGCCCCCCCCCAATTTAAAATCGGAAACATGGCTGTACAAAACTAATATTAATTTTACAGTCATATTACATCGCATTATATTTTCCGTTTTAGAAAATTGTATCTTGAATACCTCTAAGAGGTAGACCATCTATTTTTGGATGGGGAGAATTAAAACAACCAGAAATAACAAAATACAGAAGAATTCATTAACCTCTTCAATTCCATAGCAATGTTTTGGATTTCGCCACTGCCATCAATAGTACTAGAGCTTGAGAGGTCTTGATTTTTGTCTTATTCCTTCAGAAGGAATTGAGAAAGACAGGGTGTGCAGTTCAAAAGAACTTCCTATCTAAATTTAAAAAAAAAAAAAAGCTATCTTAAATCAATGGCTTTTATTTTCAAACAGAATTTAAAACTTGTCCAGACACAAATGTAATGTCATTAATAAAAATGCATAACAGAATCCAGAGTCAATGAATATTAGACAGTAACAGTAGATCATGAGGGATGGGGATGCGATGGACAAAGTACACAATTAGGATTCAGTTTTCGGCTTGATCGCAGATTGCATATGTGGACAAATGAATTTAGATGTTGTGAAAAGTTAGGAACAAATTATTTTTGTGGGAAACGGTATTTTTATCACACCAACTTGATATAATCTTGAAAAATATTTTCCAACAAATGTTTGTTTCATTAGTCTCTCCAGAACACTATACTATTATTATGCAAGAGTATTCTAGGTTTCATACGGAAGCTTAGGATTGGGCATTTGGGTTGATGAACCAAGCAGTAAATTGAAAGATGAGAGAGGAGACTAAGTTAATCTATCAGAACTTGATCTGACTCCTCAGAAGTTAATGAGATGCTTCATAATTACATGAACTTTAATGGAAGCTGAATTTGGCTTTAAAATAGGGATAATTTGGTTATTAGGAAACAGTCCGGAAGACCAGAACACAAGAATAAGTCTTGCTTTCCAATTTTCGTGTGCCTTTGGAAATGCTACTTATAGTTTCCAGTAGCTGCCAAACCATCCCATCTCCTAGGGGAAGCCCTCTGAGTGCCAGAATCTCCTGTTTCTCCTTTATAACACCTGTATTTCACTTGTGTGCCTCAAAGGGGGGGTAGGCGGGGGAGAAAAAAAAACTTAAATATCTTCTTTTTCTTTCAGAGAAGAACAAGAAGCGGATGAATTTTTATCTTGGTGTTTGTCAACCAGCCCACATTTTTGCTTCACTCAACAAACTGCCTTGTCAATTAATACGAGCATCTGTAATCGCAAAACAAAATAAAACCTTATATTCTCATGCTGATTAAATAATCTGAAATCCAAAGACTAAAAATGGAAAGTCACTAATTTTTGACAACTTACTTTCCAGCTTCTATTGTCCATTGTTAATGTGTGTTAATGCTATCGGTAATGGTCGTTCTCCTGATTTGTGGTTTAAGTATAGGTGAAACATAGCAAAACAACACCAATATAAAACTGGATTTTGAATAGCAGGAATTTGTTCTTAGTGGCATTAACATTCATATTTTATAAGGTGCACAACACTTTTTTGGCACATTAAGAATAATACGGTGTGCCAAAAAAAGTATAGCTAGTGTTAACTTGAATGTGAAGTAAATAACTTTCTCACTTTAGATGTATCCTGTTCTGCATCCTGATGATTGTTGGTTTGGAAACTTAAATGACAAGCAATACTTTTTTTTTTTTTTCTTTTTGTTATTACAATACTACTGCCTCCATTTGGGAAGGAGTTGGAGGCGGGGGAAGAGTATTTATTGCCTTCCCTTATTTGTGCCATAATGTTTCTGTTTTTATGAATCAATTCACAATTGTATTTTGTGGAGGTGGTGGTACTCAACAGGAAAGCTACTTAACTGGAAGCGAAGAAGGAAGTTAGTCATATTAGTGAAGACCAGAAGACAAAAGTGTTTATGTATCATTGTGTATTTTTGGGAGGAGAAGAGGGGGGAAGGCAACTTTGTTTCCACTCCTGCTCTTTGTATTAAAATGAACAAATTGCTCTCAGCAATTTTTTTTTCTAAATCAATTTCTTTGATATACACACGCGTACACGCATAGGTTTCTGTAGGCTTCTAAATGGTTTTCAGGTGAAAGGGTAACTTGGACAAAATGATAACAGTGAAAGAAAGAATGAAAACAGGAAACAGATGTCTGGTGACGTCGAGGGATTGGATAGCACTTATTCAGTGAACGACGTCTTAGTCACAAGGCAGCTGTATCCTGGCTCTGATACTATAACGCTACAAATACCTTGGAGCCAAAACAGCCACGTTCCACAAAATCCGGTCATTCTCCTTTATAAAGGTGATCTTTTATCATCTTATAATTGGAGAGGGCAAAAAGGGCTGTATGTTTCTTTATTTAAAATATGCAATGCTTGTCTTTTTTTCTCTCTTCTGTTTACAGTAGCTAGTATTTTATAATGGTTGTTCTGATTTTTATTCACTAGTGAAAAAAGTGACAAGGCCATAGAGGATTTCCTGTTCATTTTATCTCGTCAGGAACACAAGTCTCCTGGCAACCGAATACAGAATTATCAAAAGCACAAGTAAGTTATTGACAAGGTTTCTAATAAATCCGTAATAAACAGCCTCCCAATGGGCTGTTGTTTATCTGAGGGTCAGGCTCACTGATGCAAGACTCTAAGCCAGCACTGGCATCTAAGGCCATTCTCTTTACTTAGGAATATGTACCATGTTTTCATGTTCATAAGATAAATGATTGCCTTGGATATCCTGTTTTGATAGGGGTTTTTCATATGCAGCAATGTATTACACAGCAAGAAGCACCCAATCTGCTGTAACCGGAAAAGCACTATCAAGTAGCTGAGGAAAAGAAACGTTACTTGTGCCATAAAATACTGAAAGCCATGTCAATTTTTATCAACAACATCATACTTTTGAATGGTTCCTTGATAAAACTGATTACATACATGAGACTGAAATCAAAATAAAAGCCTCTGAACGAGTACACGCTTTGTTATATCATACCTCGATAATTAGAAATCACCTATTTCTTGTGAGGTAGATTCTACTAACAGCAGCCAGTCAATACTATATTTACAGGTGGCTGACTGCAGACTCGAAATGAAGCAAGTTAAAATAAATGCATTTTCCCTTTTACTTGTACATAAAACAAAGGCACGCTGGCTTTTCATTCTTTATACTTCATAGCATAGTTGTTTTTAACAACCAAAAGTTGACTGTACCATTCACTGGTTTCCAAAAAGGAATAAATGAGTAAATCGGTGGCCCTGATCTGAATCTTCGCTGGCAGTGTGCCAACATTGTTTTGACATACGAGCATAATTGATGTTAGTGCTCCAGGAAGTCATATAAAAGTGATCAATTGTGAAGATAGCTTCCCATTGCTATTTTACTGTTTTCTTTTTTATTGCTAAAATTTAAAATGCTAATGCAAAGCTAATTTTGCTCTGTTGAACACTCACAAGTTCTGTAAAAATTTGTCTCCAATTGGAAATTGTTGCACGAGTTTTGTATTTTAAATATTTAAGTGTTATATTTACATTATCTAAAATAAGAAAGATGCTCAAAAATGGCCAGTTTAATATTTCATATGCAGATTTGTTTCTTAAAATTTCTTGATCGGTGATCAGATGGGAATAGTTTTACGTAACTCACAGTCTGTACTTCAGTTCATTGTGTTATGGTTTCGTCTATGAAAAGATGTTCTGGTGTGACAGAATTCTTAACCCATTAGAGGAAAATTATGAACTTTTAAAGTTCCTTCGTCTCCTAGCCCAGGTAGCCCATCTTGGTCTTTTGTAGCAGAAATACATGGCATTGTCTAAAGAATTCCTGGTTTCTCAGTGGAAGCAAACTATCCTCAGATCTATTCTGTCTCCGTTGGTTAATATTCCCTCTGTTGCATCTGCATCTTCCCGAGGTCTCTTCTCACTTCTCCCGTTGTAGTGGTGGGAACTATAGGGCTCAATCATTCTCACAGTGTCATCCTGTCTGGCCCACTCTGGGTTTGAAAATCTGGTTGTTTTATGTGCCTCTGGAGCAGGAAAAGTGTTGATCATTCCCGCATCTGTTTATACGAGGGGTTTTTTCGTGGCTTGAGTTTCCTGGACTGGTGTTGCTTTTGTTGTTAAAAATGTCAACAGCAGTGTTGTTTACTTGTTAACCTTGTAGATTCCAAGACACATGCTGACCAAGTTGGAGGGGCCTTTGAGCAATGGATTTGGAGTTTATTCAGAGTCGAGGAACACTCCTAGAAGGGTGTCTGTGCACTTAACACAGAATGACACACACTAGATACAAGTCTTAATGGATACGCAGTTTTGCATTTAATGCATCAATGCCCAAATCAGTCTCTCCTTGCACTTCTGGAAACCCAGCCTCTTTAAGGTTCATTCTGGTTTCATGATAGGATTGTCCTGTCTGCTCTCTAATCTATAAATAAGGACAAGTTAGCCTGAAAGTCTGCCATTTCTCGATGTTTATATTTTTATTGTTATTCCTTGGGCAGGTAATGACAGCTAGAGGTTTGTGTACATAGAGCAGTCTATGAAAAATAAGTTGATGTGTAAATTTACAATAAACTAGTTCTCTGGATTTTTTTTGTGATGCTAGCATAGTTTGCCTTGATCCCAGCATGGAGTACCTCAAATTAAGAAAATAAAGTAACTCTTAATATCTGACAAGGGAGATGGTTTCTTTACTCTGTTGAATGTAGCTGTGGTTCAGAGTTTCAAAAGTTGGAATCCAAGTTCCCTATAAATTTAATGTAGTGAGATATTGTCTTAATTTCAAAATTAATGCAAGTCTAAATTTACATTGCTCACATGTGGACACTTGTTTAAGCTCATTTCATAGTCAGTAGAAATCTGATTGATATTCAGTGGAGCCAGGACAAT